AGCTGTTTCGCCTTTTTCTTTTTTTTTTTTCTTTTTTTTTTCTTTTTTTTTTAAATGGTCCGATGGACCACGGATCAGATATTAAACTGATCAGAACAGATACTACACTTGATCTTAGCCAAAAGGCCGAGAAAGGTATTTTTTGGTGCGTTGTCATGTTCTCTTTACACAACTGCAGCCACGTGGCGCAATCGGACTATTCACCGACTCATCAGGGGATTGACAGGTTGGGGGGAAGAGGGGGATGCGGGGTTAGGGGGAGGTCGGGGTGGAGTAAAGTGTTCCGAGCTCGAAGTCAAGGGGGGTGGGGGAGAGAGAGAGAGAGAGAGAGAGAGAGAGAGAGAGAGAGAGAGAGAGAGAGAGAGAGAGAGAGAGAGAGAGAGAAGGGGGGGCACGCTCTACTTCGTTTCTTCTTTGCCTTCTGCCTTCCAGGAAATGTTGCAAGATGAACGGCCAGCATTATGGCTCTCATGTCAGTGCTACTCCCGACAAGTCCCCCACGCGAAGAGCAACTGCCAAGCAAAACCTGCTTAACATCAGTGGCACTCCTGTGGTTGGAGGCGACTTCCAACAACTTCCCCGGGCCAATCATCAATGACATCATCAAAGCCCACCAAACTGAGACGCACCCACACGCGCATGCACTTGCACACACAGCGTCCAAACTCAACAAGTAAGCACGGGGCATACATGCAGGATCGCTTGATCACAAACATATCCAGAGAACACAGCAAGCAAAGTCTGAATCGGAATCTTTACCAAAAACATCAACGGGACAACGGACAGAATTTTCTCAGAAACGTTCAGAGTTCTTGCACAGCACAAAAAGAAAAACGATGCTGCAAAGGTAACGGCTTCCCAAACAAAAGACTCACAGATAAAGTAAAAAAAACGCTTCGGTGGTATTCCCTCCTATTTTCTTGCACGCAGATCTCAGTCTGCTCTCAGTCTCTTCTTTTTCTCATTATGAAAGAAGCGGCATATGATAGGGCGGTTCGTTATGCTTTTTCTTTCTTTTGTGCGTTTTCCTTTTCTGTTTTTGCGGGCGAAGCCACAACGGGTCATCTAGTCTAGTATATATATATATATTCTCTATACCACTAAAAGATACAAAGGGCCCGACAACACGCTCGGTCGCGGGCCCAACGGAAACCGTAGGAGGGACGCAACATATATATATCTATATATCTATATATCTATATACTTTATTCTGGATTATTGACCGACTCTCGTGTGACGCCTGTCGGGACAGAGACGCGGTGCGCCTTGGCTGTGGAATGCATCATCTATGCCATAGCCATTATCAATCTATTGCGACTGCCGCCGTCTGTCCTGAAGGGTGTCCAACATTTCCTCATTGTACACATCCCTATCACCCAGATATACGTTGTCCCTATTGTGCCCAAGGACGCTATCAGAACTGTATGATGACGCACTGTGATGAACGTCCTGCCGTGTTTTTGACATG